CACACCCCACTTTTAAGAAATCTATATTCTCCTCTGCAGGCACAGGGCACAAAACACATAATTGAGCCTCTCAAGTTGCCCAGTGCCTTGGGTCAAGACTAACTCATAGCATGTGAATAAATAAAGGATAAGAAAAAAGAAGAAAAACGGTGAGTTTAATTTCTTTTACTACCCGTGTATATGATGGGAAGATATCTGAGTATCTGAGGTTTTGTACTTATTGGCAAAACTGGTTTAATAGTTTGCTTTTGTGTCTGCTCTCTACTGAGAAATTTTGAATGTTCAGGAGCACACTATAAAATATGTACTAATTATGTCACCTTTGATTTTACTGGCTGTCATGGATTCAATTGTGTCCCCCAAAAATATCTGTCAACTTAACTAGGTCATGACTCCCAGTATTGTATGATTGTGATTTCCTTATGTGCTGTAAACTCTATCACTATGATGAGGTTATACTGATGAGGTTTAGATAGTGTCTTAATCCAATCTCTTTCGAGATATAAGAGACAGAAGCGAGCAGAGACACATGAGAACCTCATACCCCAAGAAAGCAGTGCCGGGAGCAGAGCGCGTCCTTTGGACCTGAGGTTCCTGCGCAGAGAAGCTCCCAGACCAAAGCAAGATTGATGACACCAACCTTCCTCCGGAGCCAACGGAGAAAGTGTTCCCCTGGAGCTGACGCCCTGAATTTGGGCTTGCACCCTACTGGACTGTGAGAAAATAAATTTCTCTTTGTGAAAGCCACCCACTTGTGGTATTTCTGTTGGAGCAGCATTAGATGCCTAAGACATTGGCTGAAGAGAAAACACCATCTGAAAAGCTAGGTTCCCTAGAAGAACACTGCTACAGAGATATTAACTATTACTACTAATAACAGTGTGGTTTGCAAACAGCGTACTTTACTACTTTTGTACTTTCCTTTTTTAATAAGAGCAGTCTGTTTATTTTTTCAGTTTAAAATAAAAAGATACTTTCTTTCTTTAGTTGAAAAATAGCAGTGTAGTTTTCTATTAAATTTCATACATAGTAGTGGGTGAGGAATGGAGCAAGGAACGTACTGTTCCTAGAACGAGCAGTACAAGCAACTCTCCACTGCTTCATTTCACTGAAGCTTCAGCAGTCAAGTCACAATCTCTGGCCAAGTTCCCTTCTTTATGTACATTCAAAGAATCCTTATGTAGCTAAATGGACCACTAAATCCTTCAAGAGTAATTCAAAGAAAGCACTTCCTCCAAATTCTCTCTTATTTCACAAGTGCCACGCACACAACAGTAAACGCATTGAAAAGAATGCAAATCCTCCTACTTCAGGGCCATGAATCCTTCTATATGCAAAATGGCAGCCTCTCCGGCCCCCAAACGTCTTAGCTGTTATTTGCAATATTAACTGCCAATATCTGAAAGCTATAAGAAGAACACCTGGGGAGAGCACTGGGGGGAAAAAATGTAAAAAATATACAAATACATTTAACATAAAGAGGGAAAGGGGCAAAAAAGGAGATACAGTCCCAATCAAAAAGAAGAACGTGATCATTATGATTTTAAACCTCTTTCTGAGGTCTTGAACACCTTTTGTTTGTTTGTTTCAATACCATTCTAGTCACCAGCTCCCAGGCAGATTCTCTTAGGTTTTCCCTGCACAGGACAGAGAGGTGTGATTATGGTTTGGTTACCAAAAGGGCCAGCTAGCTGAGAATGGCCACAAATTCAAGCCTCAACCACCTACCTATGGAAACCCAAAACCCAGTGCGGTAATAAAGTGGTGAGATGGGCACCACAAAAGCATACAAGAAAAGTCCTTCCCACTTTCCGGCAGCCACTCTCCCCACGTGACTTCAGGAGTGTGTGTGGATGGCGAAGAACAAGCTCTCTCCCTGCCAGACACAATGCAGAGCCAGCCGGACCTGCAGCTGGCCGCTCCGTCACCGCACTCTCAGAGGACTCCCGTTTGTTTTGTAGAACCTCACCAATGATGTGCAATAAAGGGCTGTAAAGGAAAGATGTAAGCATTTCTGAACTAAACTTTTCATTTCACCTCTGTTTATTCCCTCTATTTCAGCCCTCTGTAGGAAAATTATTTTCCATATAAACAAATTCATCAAGTGAACTTATTCAAGGATGAAAATAACTGGTATCACATAACATTCTGCAAAACAAAATTGCCACTGCTTGTGTTCCAGTGCTTAAAAGCAAACTACTATGGCAATTCAACCCTAGTACTAACATAACCCAAACCCCCTATTACCTTCATCACTGCATATTCAATTTACATAATTATTCTGCTATGCTATTCAGAATTTACATTTAGTTGCATGCATTCTACTTCTCCTTGCTTTAGGGATGCTACTTCCTTTCTAGACTTAGCAGAACGAGACAACGATTCAACGTATTCAATTCTTTTGACCAGGAGAAACACTGTGGTTCAACAGAATAATGGTTTGGTTTGTTAATTTACTTAAAATCTTGATTCAAATACCATATTATTGGCCTGCTATCCCCAGCTGCAGCACTGACCACCAACCACAGGAAAGCTTCTCAGGACCTGCCTCACCAGCTTCCATTTTAAATCAGCAACACTTTATCCTACAGGTCGAAAAGTCACCAGGGCCAACAGAGGTGCCACATACACTCTGGGTGCCCCCCCAGCCACCCAGTAGCCTCTCCAAGTCCCTGGTCACATGAAGACAGCTCCCCTTCCCCTGGGCATCTCCAGACTCAACAGTATTCAATTATTTCCATACCACTCGGGGTAAAACAACTCTCACCTACAGGAGACACTGACTGGGACTATCAGGCAAAAGCAACAGGGGAAAACAGCACTAGACCTTTTTCCTGGGATAAAATGAGCACCCTCTTTTCTCCTCCCACAAGCAGTGACTCTAGTGTAAACCCTTGCTCAGGTTCAGCAATGCAGGAAGCTTTACCTGCATGGGAGACTCACAGTGCAGAAGGGACAATTGGCAACAGGCACGTGAGGTGTGCAGTGATTGTTTAGTTAGCGGATAAACACGGGGTCAATACCAGTACCCAGGAGGCGTGGGGGTGCCCAGGACGGACCAGATCACAACGCCCTGAATTCCAAACAGTTCTCTAGGATTGCAAAGGACCTTTTAACAATTTTCATTGTTCAGTTCAGCATTTTCAAATCTGCCCCAAAGTATCCTACAGGAAGTAAGGGTATGCAAGATACATTTTGAAAGACAGGTAGGGCCAGTTTGACGTAGAATCACAGCATGAAAGAATATGCTTGGAAACATATGGCAAGATCCAAGATACACATTTTCTTTTCTTTTTATCAAATTTTAACATTAGATGGTGACTCCAAAAAATCAAGATAGAAATTGAAGCCAGTCCTATCTTGAGGCTAAAATTAGTATTGGTGATGTATTTTCTGAGCCCCAGAAAGCTTCTCTAGATCACAGACTCCTACATTTAAATTAAAGGAAAAAAGCATACATTGTTTTTTAGACTTTGCTTCGATTTCTTTCTCCCTGGGAGAAATGTGCACACTTTGCTTTCTATCAAAAGCACAAAAGGCAATTATATATTCAAAAACCACCTCATAAGTCACACTGAAATTTCTACCACGTGCACCTTGCTCACCGTTGTATCCCTAACACTTAACACAGGACCTGGCCATAGCAAGTACTTAATAAAATATTTCTGAAATTAATAAAAACAGAGTTTAAAATGGATCGTAAGTTAAGAATGTTCATAAGGGGAAATATAATGATTTTCACTAAGAGACCACACACTGAGGCATCAAAGAATGTTCACAAATAAATGCAAATATTAAGTCATCTGTAAGACTGCGTTACTAAACATTATTCAGTTATGAATTCAGTTATATTTTCAACATAAAAGGTACTGAGGGCAAACAATTTTTATTGGGGGCTGTTTCGATATTTTTAGCAGAAAGTTGAAAATCGAAGTTTGCTCTTTCATTATACTTTGCGACAGGATCTTTCTGTTACAGAGTTCACACACAGGGCAGTCCAGGAGTGAAAGATTTAGATACAGTGATCTCAGAGAGTTCACGTCAAGCACGTCAACGGCACAATCAAGTGTGCGTGTGTGTGCGCATGTGTGCACCTGTGTGCGCATGTGTGCACCCATGTTACGTGTGTGTGCATGTGTGTGCACCTGGGGGTAGGGGCAGAGCGTGTTTTCTAAGGGAGTTTGCAAACAGGTTCAGATTAACCAAGTCTGACCACACTTCCATCTGGAAACTATATATTCTAACATGAGCCATATTCTGAAAAATAGATTCAGATGTTTGGAACTGGTTCAGAACAGTTGTAAGAAATGTTCAGTACAAATGAAAAAATTAGTCTTCAATGTCTTCTCCTCTCAGCTTTTCTTACTGGGTAAATTTGCCTTCTGGGGGGTCAGAATGCTGGTGGGGGAAGAATGGAGGGGAAGTATGAGTGAAGGAAGGTTGTTTCCTAGAACCTAAAGCGCATGTTACTCTTGAATGCATATCGAACAGGTAACTGCTATTTGATTTTTCCCATATTGCCCACTAGGATTTCAACTCTGCCCCTGGAAGGCTTACTCCACCAAGTGGAGATAATTAATTCTCCTGTTTCAACTTCTGGGAAACAGGGCTGAAACGCTTAGTGAAATATAGTGGCCTTTCTTTCCTCTATGATCCTTCCTTCCCAATTTTACATTTACAGAAAATGAGGTTGCTGGTCTATGCTTACAAATAATTAACTTGGTTCTATTTGTTAAATTATAAATTTTCACAAGAATACAAGAAAGTGTTTTGAAATAGTAAATAATTTTTATCCAGTAAGATCTCTAAAATCTATCATCCAAATCAACAGTTCATAACAACTGAGTCCTAAATTGCAGAATGCATAAAATCTTTAACTTTTTAGTTTGGACACTAGGGAAAAAAAACTCAACAATGACAAAATCAAAACGCACCCCCGCCCCCGCCACACACACAGGCCAAAAGTGTTTCGTCTGGTTTTGTTTCTGCCCACAGCCTACCTTGACTTTTTGCTGGATTTGGGTTTTGGCGTGGCAGTTTTTGCTTTCTTTTCCTTTGGCTCTTTGGGAATCTTAGGGACTTTCGGGGTCTTGGGTTCCTTGGGCTCTTTCTTCTCCTTGGGTTCTTTCGGTTCCTTCGGATCTTGTTTTGCCTTCGGCTTTTTCTTTTTCTTTTTCTCGTCTTGGGACCCATCTAGTGAGTTCCTACTTAGTTCTTGGTTATCAACCCCACCAGGGAAGTCGTCTTTACCGAAACTTTTACTGGAATCCTCTGCAACAATGTGGTTGTTTTTCTTTTTCTTCTTCTTTTGCTGTGGCTGCTGTTCTATTGATGGCAGGTAATCTTCACTCTTCCCTAGCTGAGCGTTCGGTCCGCTAACCTGAGTCACATCCAGCCCTGGTTTCTCTAGAAAGGGCTCCGATGGAGAATGCTAAGAGACACAAAGAGGAATTGAAATTAGTTTATCGTCCTTCATGGTGAGGAAGAAAGGAACTGAAAGTTAGTGGCTGATGTTTCTAAAACTTACTCTATACTCAAGGTAGCAAATATTTTGTCAGCTAGACAGTTGTGGAATCTATCATATTCTCTCATCCAAAAATATACATTTCTTTAATAGAATGTTTCCAAATAAATAGAGTAAAAAGAAAATAGTAATTTCATAATACAGTAAAAAATTCAGTTCAGGAAGAAAAAAATTCTCATTCAGCTAAAAATCTTGTCCATGTTCTAACTGGCCTATACAGAAAGTAGTGAATGACAAAACTGCAGCAAAAGCTAACCCACAAAGAATAAATGTCAGTGGAATTCTTTTCCCCGTGATAGAACGGGGATTCAAATTAAAGATAGGTAGTTTAGCCATTTCAAAGAGAACAAGTGTAATTAACATCGCAAGGTTCTGGTACTATGGAAGTCTGAAATCAAAGCATAAACCAGGGCTTTGAAAGGTTCCTTCTGGGTTCGAACCCCTGCTGAGAATTTGCATTTCTAACAAGTTCCCAGACGATGCTAATGATGCTGGTTAAGGACCAATTCTGAGAGAGTAGTGGGTCTCAAAATTTATTACACATAAGAATCACCTGGGATCTTGTTAAACTGTAGCTTCTGATACAGTACATCTAGGGTGGAAATGCAGGAAGTTCTTCTAAGGGTAGTCAAAGTAGGTGTTTTTACTACTATTTACAGGTGAAAAAACTGACAAATTAATAGCATGTGAGCAGCTTTAGAACTCAGGCCTCCTGAATGCCAGAATAGGATTTTTCCTTTATGTTACTCCCTGACCAGCAGCATGAGCATTGCCTGGGAACTTGTTAGAAATGCAAATTCTCAGCAGGGTTCAAACCTGCTGAACAGGTTCAAAGCCCTAGAGTAAACACAACATATAAATCTTATACAGTCCAGGTCATTTCTATGTTCTCCATTAAAATATCAAATTAAAAGTACATATCCAAACATAATGACTTTGGATTGGTGCAATTTCTTGTACTGATATGAAATGCAGACAATGCTTTTCTTAACTTTTTAAAACTTTCCATTACAAAATTTCACCGAGGAAGAGGAAACCCAAATTGTCAGATTTGACATTCACTGCAGGAGATCCCCGTCATTCACTAGGAATACACCCAGAGACCACTTTAAATACATTAGAGAATACCAATAATTAGAACAGGATGCTAGGTGGTCAGCTGAGATCAGAGTAAGCGATCCAAACCAAAAATTATGACTTCTAATGGACCTTTACACTTCAACAAAAAATTAGAAAACCAAATGTTCAACATGCAAATGTTACTCATTTCTGCCTTTTTCATAAGCTTTCCCTGACAATTAACAGTAACTGTAATTAAGAGCTACGGCTGCTAACCAAAAGGTCAGCAGTTCGAATCCACCAGGTGCTGCTTGGAAACCCTATGGGGCAGTTCTCCTCTGTCCTATAGGCTCGCTATGAGTCGGAATCGACTCAACGGCAATGGTTTGGTAATACAAATAGCAACAACAACAATAATGGCTGTTAATGTTGTATTGAACAATCTTACTATGTGCCAGGCATGGGCCAAGCATTTTACACCCACTTTACTCTGATGGCACAGTGGTTAAGAGCTCGGCTGCTAACCACAAGGTGGGTGGTTTCAACCTACCAGCTGCTCCGCAGGAGAAAGATGTGGCAGTCGGCTTCTGCAACAATTTACAGCCTTGGAAACCCTATGGGGCAATTCTACTCTGTCCTATAGGGTCGCTATGATTCCGAATCAACTTGATAGCAATGTTTTGTTTTGTTTTGTTTTGTTTTTTTCCTTAACACTATTCAATCCCCATGACGGCCCTCAGAGCTAGGTATGACTGTTTTTCTAATTTTACAGATGAGGACACCAACATTCTGGGATGAAGTAACCTGCCCAGGAAGATATAGGTGGTAAGTGACAGAACTGAGAGCAACATCAAAGTAGATGGCTCCAGAGTCTGTACTCCAGAGCACATCACCTATGAAAGGAGAGCAGGCCAGAGAGCCCAGGCCCGTATCGGCCAAGGCCATGGCTTACATCAGCAAAGCAAACCTCAGCTGCTGTCGAGTTGACTCTGACTCATGGCAACTTCACATGTGTCAGAGCAGAACTGTGCTCTGTAGAGTTTACAAGGGCTGATTTTTCAGCAGTAGATCACCAGGCCTTCCTTCCAAGGTATCTCTGGGTAGACACAAATCTTCAGCCTTTCAGTTAGCAGCCAAGCGCAGTAACTGTTTGCACCAACCAGAGACTCCATCAGTAAAGTAGGAAGGCTAAAAGCAACGTGTAAAACATAGGTGTAATAAATTAGATTTCAATATCACTAATAATTACTGAGCATCTATTCGATACCAGATACTGGGCTAGGCGCATTCTTGTGTTAGTTCTACCAAATCTCATAACAAAAATGTGAATATTTCCCCCAATTTTTCAGAAAGAAGTAAAGTTCAACGAGATACTGTGGTCAGCCAAGACCACATAGTAGAGGCGGAGCTGAGATTCAAATTGCGTTTCCTAAATCCAGGGGCATCTGACTCTGTCCATCGCCTGAAATCGTACACAGGCGCTACGTTCAGAAAGGCTCTACAGGTTTCATCGAATTCCAAAGTGGTCAGTGACCCAAAACCCATTAAAAAATACATATCACTGTATGAAAAGAAAGTGGTTATATGGTTCCCACAGAAATATGCCATGGTGACTAAAAAGACCTACATTCAATTCTCTCTCTGCATACTTGTAACAGAAAGAGCCCGGAAGTGCAAATCAAGATATTAGCTGTAGGGTCTGAGGAAGATCACTCCCCTATCTGAGATTCAGTTTCTTCATCTGCAAAATGAAGGATTTGAGTTAGATGATTTCTAAGGTCTCTTCCAAAATCCTAGGATATTTACAAATCTTAAAATACGTATCGCCCTTTTTAGTCACAGCTGAGAAGGAAGAACCTGAAGAAGAGTAAGGGAACACAGAAAAGAGAGAAGCAAGGATTGGTGTCTGGGGAAGAACACACAGCTGTAAACGTGCATGAGCGGATTTTGGTACAGGGGAAAACACTGCTAACTATCACCCCCGCCTCTCTGTTTCCCTCACAAACACTCTTAGTGACGGTAAACTCCAACACAGGCACTGTCCAAATTATCACGACCTAAAAACTAGTGGGACATTTAAGTTGCTTAAGTCGAGTTGTTACGCATTATTCTGAAATGTAACTAAAAAGGAAAATGCCTCGTCGTTTTGTAGAGGACACAGAGCTCAAACTTACTTGGGACAAGCTATTTTTCAGGAAATGGAAGAAAAAGTTGTTCCTGGAAAGAGAAGGAAAGAGGAAACTCTACCAGTAAGCAATGATTAAAACTCAGAATGGTGAGTTAATTCTAGGTATGTGTACCTCTCTTTAATCTGCATGGTGGTAACTCCAGTAACAGAGTGCCAGTCTCTAACGAGAGGTCCCTGGTATACATTTACAAATTAGAAAAAGTACATAACACATAATAGCAAAAGACTGAGAATTACCAACACACTTTAGCATACCAATCATCTTAGATGCTGCTTTTAGTAATAAATGAAGCTATAAATTAGTATCTCAGTGAAGAATTTAAATCTTCCATAAAGAAGAAAAAAACATAAAAGTTAAATTTTAAGAAAGGTATTAATGTTGGATATGCAACAGAATTATGTTTTGGTACTATCTGAAATAGGGTGAAAAAGGTGCTCAGAAATATTAGAGTGTTTACCAGACCCACATCTCCTTAAATCTTTTAGAGAAAAGCTGTTTTTGTAAACAGTTAACAAAGAACAGATGGCCTGCCTTAATCACGTGGGGAACAAGGAACCTGGAGCTCACGTTAATACCCTACACAGTCTACAGGCCCAGCCTGCCCCCTTGGCCCCCTGTGTGTGGCATTCTTCTCTGATGCTATTTAATGTTACAGTGGACATTTCCCATCAACTCCCACTGCCTGACAGGTAATCAATGCCATTAACATCTGATATTCCATATAGGGCATTCCTAAAACCTCTCATTTCTTAGAGCAAACGTGGCGAATGTGAGATACAAAAGGTGTTGTCAAATATGTACCATAGGACTTACTGCTGGACACATTTTCTATCATGATTTCATATGCCTTGTGGAATATATAAAGATTGTGCCATAAACTTTTAGAACTATAACAGTATGCCCAATATTTAAACTATAAATAAAAGTGATACAAGGAGTGTGACTTTTTTTGTCCAAAAAATTTTCCATAGCCAAAGATAACTGCTTATATTTTATGCTCCTAAGATGTACAACAGACAAAATACGCAAACAAGCTAGTTGTCAAAAGAGCAGAATGGACAGGAAGAAAATTTAACCAAAGGAGAGCCAGGGTGGGGGCAGTGAGGGCAAGCCCTCCGCTCCTCGTCAGAGGAACGAAACAAAGGAACCCCAGTGCTCAGGAGCACTTACTGGGCCAACACACCCATTTTCAGTTCAGTACAAGAGGAAAAAGTGAGTAAGATGAAACTTTTTTTTAATCTATTTCAAGTGTGCTTTTCTTCCAGAATTCCTCAGCACTTTCTGGCCTAAAAAGATATTTTATTTAATCACATTATGCCTTAATTATGTTTTTGAAGCCTTGACCTGTTGGCTATGTCGAGCAACACAAGCACGTTATGTAATATTAACAGTAAGCAATGTTTTCCAACACGTACAGTCCCTGCAAACTGACAACCTTCTGTGATACACCTATGGGCAAACCCTGTATTTTACCGAGTGAGTCAAACAAGTCTAAAATCCGAATACTGCTTTATAAAAAGGAAAAGATACCACCACCAAGACCAGAGTCACAAGGTACTTCTGGGAGACACGCCCCTCCCCACCAATTAAACCAAAACCAAACCCATTGCTGTCAAGTTGGTTCCGACCCATAGCGACCCTATAGGACAAAGCAGAAGT